TAAGTGTAGCATTAAAATATTCATAATTTTTTTGATAAAGTTCAATAAGTGAGTATGAAAACCTTAAATAGGTTATTAATGAGTTTGATTGATAAAAGAGATAACAAATTGTTAAATATCAATATTGTGTGATTTTCTTTGAATTATTTATAGTTAGAATAATCCTAAAGTATCAAATTCATAAACTTAATTTGATATCTATGATAATATTTAATCGATAGTTATATGAATAATTATCATTATTTATGTCTTTCTGATTCAAATATCTCTCTTAAATCTTAGAGTCCAATTTTGCCATCTTTATCAACATCTAAACATTCTAAGAGTATTTCTTAATCTCTTTTATCAATTTTTCCATATCCTAATACACTGAAAACTTCTCCCAATCTACCAATATCTAGATTACCTTCTCCTTTTGGATCTAGAAGTGAAAATGCTTATTCAAGAGGATCAAAATCTTGTAATTCATTTTATTTAAGTAATTCATATAAATCTTTGCTTTTGAGTTCTGGTTTGCCTTGAGTTAAAGCTTTATATTCACTTTTAGGGAAATTAGGATTGATAGCAGGAATTTTCTTTTTTAATTCAAGCAAAGAAATTTTAGTACCTTTGTTTTTTTCATCTAAGATTTTGAATGCTTTTTCAATTTCTTCTAATGTTATTTTAACTCCATCAACTTATTTACTTTTTTCATTAAGTTCAATAAGTCCAGCATCTTATAAAGCTTAAAAATTAATCATTTCTCTCATAGGTGAAACAGATTTTAATGGAGAGCCTTAACGAGTCTTTTCTAATTCAAGTTATGCTCTTTGAAAATGTATAAGAGTTTTCTATAATTCCTTATAATCAATATTTGAAGCTGGATTGAGTTTAGTTGGTTTAAGTGGTTACATAAATGGAACTTAAAATTGATATTAATAATTAATGAAACAACATCATCAGGTGCAATAATAAGGAATGGAATATTAGCCAATAAATTAGAAATACTTTATACATGAGAAAGAGAAGATAAGACATGATCCTTTTGCAGAGAGTTTGGAAGAATATTTCTCATTTTTTAGAAAGCGAACGATTTATCATTTTTTGCTGTGTATTTCGAATAAGTATAAAAGGGTCATAGTTATGTTCTTTATTGGTCTCATGATTCCTTCTATCATATTGTAAGCAGAGTATATTGAAGTTGATGTAAATGATGGTGTAGGTAATTTCACCATGAACGATACATGGGATCCACCTATAAGTATTTATATGTTTTCAAAATCTGACTAATTGTTATTAGATATACAATTGGAATTGAATGATAAACTAATTCAAGAATTCACAATTCAAGAATAATTGATTATTCATACTCAATACATTATCAAGAGTGAAAAACCTTATACTTTCAGTAAGCTTATTCTTAACACAAGCACAGCAGTTAGATTGATGGCACAGTTCGATTTTGTTCCTGCTTCTTACTTAATTATTACTGTTGTTATGCTTGTTATATCACTACTGTACTCAATACTCACTTATGCTCGCTAAAGATAACTCTGAATTTTTTTATTGTATTTATTTTCTACTTTTGTTTCAATATATATCAATCCTTCTTATATCTTTTCTAATCTTATACAAACCCTCTTATTATTAAAAATCCAAATTATACCAAACTTTCTATTTTTCCATTAAATTATTCAAATTCTCATTAAATTCTATTCCAATACTACCAATCAAGTATTTTCATTCCTCTTCCAAAATTCTCTAATTTCAATACAACTTTATAGCCAACAAATTATATGTCTAACAAATTCTAAATTATTTCCTTCTAATTTCATAAGTCAAATTTATATTCAGCTTTATAAAACTATTTGCATAAAACTTTTACATTTATTACCCAATATACTAAAAATAAATAATAAATCATCATATCTTATTTTATATTCGTTAATATTACCAAATANCTAATGTTATTTTAACTCCATCAACTTATTTACTTTTTTCATTAAGTTCAATAAGTCCAGCATCTTATAAAGCTTAAAAATTAATCATTTCTCTCATAGGTGAAACAGATTTTAATGGAGAGCCTTAACGAGTCTTTTCTAATTCAAGTTATGCTCTTTGAAAATGTATAAGAGTTTTCTATAATTCCTTATAATCAATATTTGAAGCTGGATTGAGTTTAGTTGGTTTAAGTGGTTACATAAATGGAACTTAAAATTGATATTAATAATTAATGAAACAACATCATCAGGTGCAATAATAAGGAATGGAATATTAGCCAATAAATTAGAAATACTTTATACATGAGAAAGAGAAGATAAGACATGATCCTTTTGCAGAGAGTTTGGAAGAATATTTCTCATTTTTTAGAAAGCGAACGATTTATCATTTTTTGCTGTGTATTTCGAATAAGTATAAAAGGGTCATAGTTATGTTCTTTATTGGTCTCATGATTCCTTCTATCATATTGTAAGCAGAGTATATTGAAGTTGATGTAAATGATGGTGTAGGTAATTTCACCATGAACGATACATGGGATCCACCTATAAGTATTTATATGTTTTCAAAATCTGACTAATTGTTATTAGATATACAATTGGAATTGAATGATAAACTAATTCAAGAATTCACAATTCAAGAATAATTGATTATTCATACTCAATACATTATCAAGAGTGAAAAACCTTATACTTTCAGTAAGCTTATTCTTAACACAAGCACAGCAGTTAGATTGATGGCACAGTTCGATTTTGTTCCTGCTTCTTACTTAATTATTACTGTTGTTATGCTTGTTATATCACTACTGTACTCAATACTCACTTATGCTCGCTAAAGATAACTCTGAATTTTTTTATTGTATTTATTTTCTACTTTTGTTTCAATATATATCAATCCTTCTTATATCTTTTCTAATCTTATACAAACCCTCTTATTATTAAAAATCCAAATTATACCAAACTTTCTATTTTTCCATTAAATTATTCAAATTCTCATTAAATTCTATTCCAATACTACCAATCAAGTATTTTCATTCCTCTTCCAAAATTCTCTAATTTCAATACAACTTTATAGCCAACAAATTATATGTCTAACAAATTCTAAATTATTTCCTTCTAATTTCATAAGTCAAATTTATATTCAGCTTTATAAAACTATTTGCATAAAACTTTTACATTTATTACCCAATATACTAAAAATAAATAATAAATCATCATATCTTATTTTATATTCGTTAATATTACCAAATACAACTAATTAAAAAGGTTTTTGTAATATCTAGTATCACTAAATATATGATTCATTTTAACATAAAAAAAATATCTTGAATCGAATTTAAACATTCAAATTCAATTCTACATTAAAATTTTATTCATTATATTCTTTTCCAAATCTTAATGATAATCAGCCACTAAAAATGTATCAAATTTTTTGTTTTTCGAATAAGTAATTCCAAAAGTATCCATCCTTTCTAAAGAGTTTTTAAAAACTATAAAATAGGAATATCTTAAAATTACTGAAACTGCTTAAGGAATAAGTAGTTTTTATTTTAAATCGTAAATCGTAATTAGGTCAATTTTCTCAAAAATTAACTTATGTCTCCACTTTTCGTCTAATTACAAATTATTCTGCTGAAAAGAGTATGGCCTGAATCAAATTGATTAGAGTTGACTTGATTATAAAGTGTAAAAACTTCCGTATGTATTATCTAATTAACAAAGTTTATGTACGGAACAGGAGAAAAATAAGATTTGGATTCATAAAAATATAAGATAAGGAAGGAGTTATGTTATATGATTTTTTTTTTGAAACATAATTTATATAATGTGTTGTTATCATAATCTAGATTCAATTATAATCCATTTTTCAACTCAAGTACTCATACTATAGAGATTCTTAAGGTTATCGTTGATCTTTATAAATTATAATATAAAAGAATGACAAATCTTACTAAAAGTATTTGGTAGGAAGTATGTTTTAAAATTCTACTCAAAAGTAGATTAAGATTGTAAAAAAAAATATATAAATGAAACATTCTTTGGTAAAATGGTCATAATATAAAATAAGCAGAATGAATATATTGTAAAAGATTCTCTCTATTTTTTACATTTTACATTTTAATGAATTAAAAATCATTCACAAAATAATACAAATTTGCGTATACAAACCAAATACCTTTGTTTTATATACATTTTTATTTTTATTTTTTTGGTAGATGAGGTGATTTTATCTATTCAAACAATCGAAGATTGCCAATAAATTTTATTTTAACTTTTCCCTTTGATTTTTAACAATTAAATATATTAATTTTAAATTAAAATCCATTATCCACTATATGGCATTGATATTTCATCTTTAATATGAATGAAACACAACCTAAAAAAATATAATATAAAAATAAGATAGACAATTTCTAAATTTTAAAAATCGATGAATTTTAGTTTGTCCTCAATAATTTCAAAAAAAATTAACTATTATTTATAAATAAATATAAATAATGACTATAGCCTCTCATGTTCTTTTATTCATCTATGATTGTACATAAGGTACAATAATAAATTTAATTTAAAATTATGATGAAGATATTAAACCATAATGAATAAAAAAAGAAACTCTAATATATTGATCACCAGGATCTTGACTTAACACATTAATTTAGTTTATTTATATTACCAATTTGGCATTTCTTGAGATTTATTATTAAATAGATCTACAATATAAGAATTTCTATTTTAAAGCCTACCTAAAATTATCAATTTTAATTAGACATTTAAGATTTGAGTAATATTTATAAGCATCTTAATATTGTGTTGTTACTTCTTAAATGTTGAACAATTATTAACCTTTCATAAACAAAAGTAGTATTTGTATTTCTCTTAAATAGAATGGTTTCTGATTTTAATTTAACACAGCTTCTATTTAAAAATAAAGAATAGCTACAAAAAAACAATTTGAATTATCTGTGAATTTAATATAACTTTTATTATACATTTATTTACATTATTTAAGATAAGTTAAAAACTTATGGTTTTTCACATATTATTTAATAATTATTTTTAATTTGTACTCCATAAAATTTAATAATCATTAATTCATTTTAATATTCTTTGTTGATTTCAATGAGTATGTTTGTTTATTTATTATTGAAAAGCATTTGAACTATAAACTTAATACTTATGATTATACTCATTAATTTTTATGTAATAACCTGTGGAAGAAATAGATTAATTTATACTCAGCTTTAACAACTAAACAAATAATTGTTAACTTTAAGCCAATCTAAATCAAGACTAACTTCTTGCATAAAATGCTAGACTTTTACAACAATTATAAGAATAATAAAGAATGCTTAATTTGTAAAGTTTTTTTACATAGAACATGTTTCAAAATCAATGTCTTAATTAGTAAATGAATCAAAACACTAAAAAGATTAAGAAAGCTAAATCTACTTTATAACATATTCAATCTAATGCTAGTTTACGAGATTAACCACCTTAAATCTAGGAAATTAAAGGAAATGTTAAAAATGCTTACATTAAGAAAATCACATCCTTATTGAGTGTTGAAGGAGATAAATTGCTTGATGAGGAATTACAAGAAGATTTATAAGAGGATAGTTCCTCTGAGGAAATATCTAATCATAAAAAATGTAAATTAGCAGGATTGTTAGGCTCAGCAAATGATTTAATGAATGAAGAATGCAAAAATTAACGTTTAAGATAGAGTGCTAAGAAATCAAGATTAAGAAAGAAGGTTTATTTAAAATTACTTGAGAAAAAAGTATAGAATTTTATAAATTTAGGTTTCTGATCTGGATTAGAAAATACAAGAATACAAAGAGACCACAAAATAGTCATTTGAATATCTAACTTAGTTATTGACATCACATCCTATACTTAATAGCATGATTATTGGAAGTTCTAATGCTATTGATCAGATTATGTAATGTAATCAATCTGAGTAAGCATAATTGCTAATCGATTCTTATATGGTAATCTTTTAAAGAAAATATAGTTTAGATGCGATATGGTACTTCTGGTATTAAGAGAAAAGATTATATCAAATACGCAATCAAAAATATCCAGAAAAATTTTTTGAAAGGAAATTACGGATTATTATTGATTAGTACAAGTAATGAAGTGAACAATTGTAATTCAAAACTGTTATTTATTTAGATGATCAAGAATTCAATAATTATGTTGAGATTGTTAAAAAATATACTAAATTGGAAGATAATAATTTAGTATATAAAGTACTCCCTATTATAGATAAATTATTGAATCATCGTAAAATGTCTTAAAAGTTTATTTTCATTTCAATATTTAGGTATTTACTCCAATTGAATCAAGAAATCAAGAGTTTGAAATTAATTTAATAAGATGTAGATGAGACTTTATGTTAATTCACACAATCTTTAACATCTATGCAATTGCTGGAATTTATCAAAGGAGTAGAGCGATCACGTAATTTTAATAGATCTCTATTTTGATCATAAATATATAATTAACTATAGAATTATCAAATAATGAAGAACGACAATTGTTGGCCAAATATAATAGATTTTTGACTAAGGATAAAATTTAAGAACCACTCAATACTCAGATATCTTTCTTGGTAAACATGATTTAAATGAAATACCTCAATAGATCTAAAAAATTCAAAAATTCAAAACTACATATCAAAACTTGTTCTGTTAGTAAATGTAATTAGTTCAAATCAATTTTAAATGAATTGAACAATGTATATAATTTTTAGCAATTTCAGGTTTAAAATAGATAATTAGAAAATATAATTAAGAATAGTTCTACTTTTGAAAAAACTAAAGAGAGAAATAAATTGATGAATGCGAAATATAAGTAGTAAATTAAAATACATAACAAAAAACTAATAAAAATTCAGATAGACCGGAAAAATAATCAAAATAATAGAAGTTTTAATAAAAAGAGTAAATAAAAAATAATTAAGAAAAACAGACAAAAAAGGATACAAGAATATAAAGTTAATAATCAAGGATTGAAATTTAATAATAGTTTAATGAGTATATTCTTAAAATTTAGGAAATTATTACAATAATTTAATAAATTGATGTAGATGAAGAAAATAGATAATAAATTTTTTAATAATTTGATTTCTAAACATGTAAATGAATGTCCAACTTTGGAAAAAGAGTGAAAGAAGAAATTAAAGAGATATTAAATTAATTATTATAATTGTATCAAATTATTTTGTGTGAATCCTATGATATATTAGGCAGTTAGCCATTCTAGAATTTGATGAATCATAATACATGTTTTTAAGATTACTATCATAGTGATAGCTTTTCAAAAATATCTATATTAAATATAGTCAAGTTCATAGCTTAGAGGATGATTTTGAGTAGAGTGAAATATTTAAGAATTTATAAATTAAAGAGTTCCTATGAGGATTAATTATGTTAAAGCAATTTGTTAAAAACTAAAAGAATTTAAGGCTGAATAAATAAAGATTGCAATTAAAGAAATGAGATTTAATTGCATAAATTTTTTAATAGAGTTGATCAAAATTACTTTATTTTATAAAGTTAGAATTAGAAAGGATAGAATTTAAAGAATAGCTTTTTGGTTGCACCATCAAATTATATAAAAAGGAGTAATGAGGAAGATAAATTAAAAGTTGAAAGAATGATGAAAAAGTAAAAAATGCTTATGAAACAAAAAAATTTTTGATTTCAAGTAGATAAGATTTATTTATTTTTAAATTTAGATTTGGAATAATGTTAATAATTAATAGAGCCAAAAGAGTATTTTATAATACACAAATGATTATGAATAAACAAATAATTTCATTATATTGACATCTATTAAAAATATTTATTTAGATCTTCTTCTTTGATTACAGGAATTTGGGCTTAATCTTCTTCAGATTATTCAGATTTCTTTTCTTCTTCATCAAGAGTTGGTTTAAATACATTAAATCCATTAGCAGAAGTACTTACAATCATTTCATAATAGATAGGATGATACTTTAATTCTTTAAGATCCTTTTATCCTTGATGTACAAACATTAATTGATCGGGAACATCTTCTTCATTATTATTTTCATTTTCAACTGCAAAATCCCAAATAGAGAGTTTATGATCTTCAGATGAAACAGCTATGCTAGAATCACTGTTAGGTTAAAATTAAATAGAAGTAATTGCTTTGTTATGAAATTGGATTTCAGATATAGCATCATTTTTAGGATATTTCAAATCCCAAATTTTAAAGCATCCATCATCTGCTCCTGTTGCTACAAGAGTTGCTGATACTTGATTCCAGGAGATGACATTAACATCACAATTATGTGCTTTAATAAGAATTTAAGCTTATTTATGTTTTCCTTCTCTTGTATCAACAATGCATAAAGATCCATCAGTTGAACATGAAGCAAACACAAAACTCTCAATAGGAGAAAATTGCAAATCTTCAACACTTCCTTTATGATATTCATATGCTTTATTCTCTCTAAACCAATCATTATTATTAAGTTAATATAAATAAATTCTACCATCAACTGAACCGCTAATTAAATCTCCTACTTTTAAACGACTCCAATCTAAAGCAAATCCTTCTTATTAATTTTTAAATATCTTATGATGCAATTAGGATAGATTAAATTATGATTATTAATTTATTTAAAGTTTTTTATATAAAGGATTAAGATCTAAGATATTAACATCTCCATTTTCATTCCAATAAGCAGCTATTGCTTAACCATTCATTGTTTTTAATCTATTTACTCCACATTTTAAACCTGTTACACTACTTAAATGTACTTGACCTTCTTCATCATTACTAAGATTATCATCTTCACTATCTTCTTCTGATTATGAGGCTTCATCATCATCATATTTTGTTTTATGCATTTT